CTAAGTTGCTTCTCTCCTTGATTAGTTTCCACCCATTGCTTCTTGTTCTATCCTCAGGTACCTTGGATAATAGATTGACTCCCTCTTATTTGTGGCAACCCCTGAGATATTGGAACACTGCTATCAAGTCTCCCCTAATCCTTCTTTTCATTAAACTAGACATACCCAGTTCCTGCAACCGTTTTCATATGTTTTATCATCTTTGTTGCTCTTCTCTGCACTCTTTCTAGAGTCTCCACATCTTTTCTACATCGTGGCGACCAAAATCAACATTATACCAACAAATTGTTAACACCAACAAATGATACAGAACTCAACAGACTTTTCAAGAGTAGAGAAGGTAACCAATAAATGGCTCCACTATTTCCACTATGTTCTGTTGGAGCCATGCTATTCAGTTAGATATTCTTTTTAAATTGTGGAAAGATATTTTAAAATGGCCACAAAGTCAATGAAAACTAATTATTAGTAGTAGCCACAGAACATTTTATTTGAAAATAAAAATAAAAGGAAGGAGAAGAGAAAATTGGCATGAACAATACTAGACAATACTGTATAGCATTGTAATATAGTATAGCAGTATATAAGTCCAACTAGTTGGAATATACAATAACATGTCTCACAAGTAAACTGTAATATAAATATAGTTATATAGATATTTGCCTTAATTTGTTATTTTTTTAATTTGATAAATACTTTTTATTGACTACTTAGTTTCTTCTGTATTCCACCTTTACTATTATTATATTTGCACTCCAATTATATGCAGGCATTGTCACTCACAAATCACATTAAGTTCAATATGATTTCCTTTGAAGTAAATCAAAATAATATTGTAAATTTCTATATAGGAGGACATGTTTTGAATGGTTTAAAAATAACCAGTGTTAATCTGATATTTGATACTAGTGTGCCACTTCATCTATATAATATATCTTCAAGGAATGAATTGATACATTTCTGATATATAATATACTTTCCTAGTAGGGATAGCTGGAAGTTATAAATCAAATTTCCCCAACTCTTGCAATATAGATACCATAATTTTTATTCATATCATTGTTAAATTATTTTAAAAGGCCTTATTTTAGTACAATATCTTCAAAGTATTTTGCCATGAGTCAGCTACCATTTGAAATAATCTAAAGCACAAGTATACACACTGATCCAACCACAACAATTAGGCATATTGTATATCAAAACTGATTTAGGGAATAAAACAGCACCAGCAATTACTGACCAATTTGTTCTGTTTTTGAGTTGTTGCAAAGTTGTGAAATACTCATTATGTAATAAGAAGTAATAGGAGAGTGATCAAACTGAAATTTGTTGATGCAGATATGATACATCTACTCTTCTTGTCCCCTGAGCCGTTAAAAACAAAGTTAAAACAGTCAATAACCTTAACAAAAAGGATCAAGCAAGTTTCCCACAACCAAGTTTTTTTTCTATTTATGTTCTGATCTAGTAGCAGATCCTTTTGAAGTTATTTTAATACACATACAAGGTAAATATAAGTAAACTACAGAAATCACTTCTAAATCACTGTAATGACAAAGCTCTGTCTTTGTCCCCTATAAAACTCTGGTTTTGTGTACAAAGGAGGATAAACATTTTTAAAAACTGAAAACAGGGAAATATATTCTTTCTTTTTACAGATGCAAATAAAAACACACAGGGAAATTATATATAGGAAACAGACTCACCTCATCCAGTTTGATGTAGTCTCATCTGTTCCATCTATGGATTTATAGTGGTTGTTCTTATCAACAATCTGAAAAAAACCATACATTTATAACAAAGTTAAGATCATGCACTTTAAGGTAATTAAATGAATAAATGTAATAGTTTAATTTTTCATTCTTAGAACAATATTTCCTATTTATTTCTTGGAGCTGACCAAAAAAAATTCATCTGGAAGACAGCTGGGTTTTGCAGTCTGTGGAAATATGCTTTCTTGTATGAAAACCTGACTCCTGACTTCCAAGTTTTACTTTGTTCTTTACACTTTAATCCTTGCCTGAAGATTAGTTGTATGAGGAGTTTCTTAATTACATATGTTCTTCTTATAGCTGAATTATAGTCAAGTATGTCCAGATGTTAATCTCACTGATTCCTTAAAGAATCACCCAGCTGAGAATACTCACCAGCCAAGAGAAAAATCCTGCTGACTTGTCCTGACTAGACAGCTTCCCTTCATATGGTCCAAAGATGCGACCTTTGGGGATAACATCATTTACGCAGCGCACATCTCGTTCCCCATTGGGATCTTTGATCACTTCCATGCCAGGAGGGATAGTGAGCACAGCTCTTTCAGGGATGCCAATGGGTACTGGAGTATCAGACACAAACATTGGTGGGCCATGATTTGGACATTCATCTACAAAGTACTCCTGGCACGACTCACAAACTATAGAAAGAGGAAATAACAAGAATGAGTCTAGCCCTCCTAATCTTGCTAAGGATGCCAGTAAGTTTTTTGAATTTAATTTTAATTTTCAAATAAAACTTACTGATGAATTACAACTTCCACCAACATTGCAAACAAATTACCAAAAATATATGAGGGCCCTTTTTTTAATTAAAAAGCAATTCCCAGCCATAAAGCTATATCTCTCTGAGTCATAGGTTATGCATTCAACAAGGATTTCAGCTCATTCAATACTGCAAACATTTGCAATAGTAAAGCAAATGTTTGCTTCCTGAATGAAGGTATAATTCACAAAATCTTGCCTAAAATTATCAAATATCATTTAATCCAACCACTCCTAGAGGCAAAAGTAAACAAACTGTATTTTACCACATCTGCTATGTTTGTGTTCCCCTGTATACATCATCCTTACTCCACAAAACCAATACTAAGGAAAGGGTATAGTATGAGTTAAGGCAGGGAAATATGTAATGCAGTTGCTGTGGAGGCTCTTTGAACTAGAGATTATTCCTGGCCCAATGAATATTTTTAAAAAAATGTAAATACATGTGAATTAGTCCTAATAGTTCACATTCACATCATAATGCAAATGGCTGTGTATGAAGTAGCTCTTTTTCATAATTAAGTATCAGGCCAAGGTTTGCAATTAATCCATTAGTACTTATATTCCTTTCATAATTTCCTGAGGTTGTTCAATAGCTCCAAGGCTTGATTTTAAAAAATCTCTTTTATGAAAAGGCAAAAAGCAGCTTTACCAGACTACAACTGGATAAATTTATGGTGGCTCTTAACTACTCATTATCTATTATTCTATTGCACCCTCATAAGGTTGTCAATATATAATTGGAGATAGCACATGTATGTAAAAGAAGAGATAGCAATTTTGGCAAGATCAGCACTGTGGGAATTATATAAGAATAGTGACATAGATTATAACTTTTTGAACCAAAACAAGAGTTCAAAGCAATACTACAGAGGAATTAAGGTAATTTTCATTGCATATTGTATCAGAACAATGCCAAGTTTTGTTTAAATGTAAATTTGGACATAAATTTGAAGAGATATGTTTAATGCTTTCTGAATTGGAATCCCAATTGTCACCCACATGAGATAAACAGATAACTTTTTTTCTGTTTCAGTAGAAGAATCACATGAACATTTGCTTTAAAATGTTAGTATGTCAATTCTAATTACAAAATAATTACTAAAAATGTTAATATGATCCTGCTCAGAACTCAGTGGCAAGAAAAGAGAGCAAGCGGTTAGCATACATTTAGAGTTTCCCATGTGGGAAATTTTATAGATGTTGGCAAAAGCAGAAATAGAATGTCAGACAACTTGGAGATCATAAAATAAAAATGGAAATGTTTTTCTTTTTAAAAAATTGTTTACTGTATGCTTTAGGCTTACAGCATAATTATGTGGCACAAAATAGAGAAAGTGTTGTGTTTTAAATGCTAGACAAAACCACTGCATTCTGTATATTCTGCTAAATCATTAGGCCATGCAGAAGTAAACCTAGAATGGTTGTTCAAGGCTGTAGAGTAAATACAATCTGGGGTAATGGGAAAATCTGGTGTGTTATCATCCTGTCTGCTCCTTCCTACCCTCAGTATTCCTAGCACAGAACATTCCAATGCTAATCTTCCAAGGCAACGGGTTGCTTATCTCCAATTTTTTATGCCCTTGGCTATTTCCCAGTTCTATACATGGATGCAAACACCCCATATATATGTTTCATTTTAGGCATGGGCAAGCTTAAAACAGCTGTAACAAACATTTTGCACATCTCTATTGGACGTCATATATAGGTAATGCTCAATTTACAACAGTTCATTTAGTGACCGTTAAGGTACATCATCACTGGAAAAATTGTGACTTATGGCTGTTTTTCACACTTATGACCCTTGCAGCATCCCTATAGTCACAGGATCAAATTTCATATGCTTGGCAACTGACTCATATATATGATAGTTGCAGGGTCCAGGAGTCATGTGATGACCTTTTGTTACCTTCTGACAAGCAAATTCAATGTAGTTTCATGTGACAACAATATTACAAATTTACCAACTTCAATGATTCACTTAGCAACATAATTTTGGGCTGCATTATGGACCACTTGTTTAGGGTCAGACTGACAGCCAACCCTATGGTGAGGATTTTTTTTTCTGGTTGACTTTTGCTTTCTCTATATACACCTTGTCTCCCATACTCAAATTGAAATAACTGCTTGCTAACAAAATTGATTTTTTTTTTTAGTAAACTTTATGTTTGTTACATTTTTGCCATGGGACTCTTGTGATTTTTTAAAAAGAAAAATCTAATATGAGGATGGAAATTTAAGTAAAAACAAGTGACATTACTTGATTAAATCCCTTTTGATAAAATAAAATAAAATTAGCTTCTTTAGGTCTAGCTCTTCTACTCTGGAAAGAAACATTTGCAACAAGCAACCAAGCATAGACAGTCACTAAGGATTTTATAGATTAAACATAAAAATGTCATGTCAGGTAACATTATAGGTAACAGAAAATACTTTTCTAGTGGACAATATCAATTTGAGAATTAAAATCAAATCTATCATCGAAAGTTTGCCATGTTTCCTTTGGTGTCTCATGTACGACAGACAACAACTGTTGAGAAGTAGTCTTGCTGAGCCTCTCTTTTGAAAATTCTGTCCTTCAAATTTTCTTATATCTTAGCTGATTTCATGGATTTAAGTCATGCTACTGAATGTACTTAAAATTGCCTCTTGGATATAAGCTATACTATTTAATAATAATAATAATAATAATAATAATAATAATAATAATAATAATAATAATAATAATAATAATAATAATAATAATAATAATAATAATAATAATAATAATAATAATAATAATAATAATAATAATAATAATAATAATAAATGAAACAGTTTAACTGTAGGGTTGGAAACCTTTTTAAATGCTGATGCCATCATGTATCACAACATTGTGGCACCAAATAAATATTTTAAAAAATAATTTTAAAACCGCCCAAATCTTTCAAGATTATTAAATATCATGATTATGAATATTTGCTTGAACCGTTATGAGATTTCATGTGAGATGGTCAACAATGAAGTTTGGAAAATTTGGAAAAAAATAGCATTTTAAAATTTATTTGTAGAAAAACAACAATTGTGGAATCCTAAGAGCACCAATATGGACCAAATGTTGCACAACCCTACTGTAGTTTTACCACTGTTTTTAAGATAGCAACTGTGAGCTTTCTATTCACTGTATTTTCTATTTTAAAGCTTTAATATTAGAATGGTTAGAGCACCAGTATGATACTTACACCAGAAATCAACCTGCTGAAAACTTTTGGACATAACCAACTCCTGCTTTCCTTTTAGCTTTTTAGGCTCCACATCCATAGAGTGAGTGTCAAACTTTTGAGAGCTGACAAAACAAGAGAACACATGTGATATTCTACTATAGAAAATGAAGAAACAGAAATTAGAAGAAGTATATGTTGTTGTTTTAGAGCAGCTGGTGGCCTAGAGGTGGAGCTCTTGCCTCACAATCTGATTGATTGATTTGATTGATTTATTTATTACATTTATATGCCAACCTTTTCCCCGAAGGGGACTCAGGGCGGCTCACAATTCAATCAGGGAAGGAGGTATAAAAAGACAAGACATAACAATACAAAATTTAAAAACACACAACAACCATACCATTCGAGAAGGGGGGCAAAAACTCTTTAGCCCCAGGCCTGTTGGAACAGCCAGGTTTTAAGGGCTTTGCGGAAGGCCTGGAGGGTGGTGAGGGTTCGAATCTCCACGGGGAACTCGTTCCAGAGGGTCGGAGCAGCCACAGAGAAGGCTCTCCTCTGGGTAGTCGCCAGTCGGCATTGGCCGGCGGATGGAATTCGGAGGAGGCCTAATCTGTGCGATCTGATCGGTCTATTGGAGGTAATTGGCAGCAGGCAGTCTCTCAAGTACCCAGGTCCAATACCATGAAGGGCTTTATAAGTGAAATGTGTATTCGATCCTAGGTAGTGGGAGATATTTCTCTGGGCGCAAAGAGAAAATATCTGATATAAGCTCTATGTAGGCATCAGGGAGGTCATACGGCCAGTAAATATTCAGCTCCATTCAAACGCCCTGATTACACCATGGTGCAAGGTATTACAAAGTTGTTAAAATAAAAGTTGTTGTTTTAACTCAAATTAAAATTAATTTACTGCTTCTTGGCTTCTAATTCTTATGTCAATTTAGTCACTATCTATTTCAAAATATTTTTAAATTCTCATTTCTTGGAACTTCTCTTGAGCAAACTATCAAATCAATTAGGTGTACTGGAATCCTGGCAACAGGTCTACAAATTTCCCTGAGGTTATTTCTGAAGGAAATTTGTAGACGTGGTGCCAAAACCTCAGTATATTCAACTATTTTCAAATGGCTTGTGTCCTTGCTTTGTTACCATATTTATTATAGTCATTTAACAATAGACAGCCTTCACCAAACACCATGATTTAGTGCTGAACTATGAACCAAGCCATCAACCATTCAACATCAGGCCTTCTTCTCAACTCTGCCCTATGCTGAATCCCCTCTTTCAAAAACACAGAGGTATTTGTCCCAGTCACAATTTCCACTCCGTGTGTTATGAACAGGTGCTCTATTTTTTCTCTGTACAAGATATATTATTCCCTTTAATCCAAGTTGCTATACCAGATTGGGAAGAAGAACCATATGCTGACCAAGCCACAGGGGATATAGAAAAAAAGTTGTTTTCAAATCAATCTTATAATAAATGTTAATATCTTAAACAGCTTGAACATACTTTCCAAAATGCTTTTCAGGGACAGGTTTGCTATTTTGGTGGAAAGTAGAAGGCAGAAGCATTATGTGTATTTTGCCTTGAATGAACAAAAAATAAAGGTGGTATATAAAAATCCAACAAATAAATGTCATGATGTTGTGTCCAGTGTTGGGAACTACTTATGACTGAAGCTGGGACACAAATAGGAAAGCTCAAGATTTATACTGTGACCTCAGAATGCACATATCCCCCTTATCTGTCTTTGCACAGGACTCCTATATTGATGGTGCAAGTTAGAAATTTAAAGGCTCTTACCCAAATTGTCCATATTCTTCTTCCTGGCACGGAGAACATGGTTCTGTCTTGATTGTTACCATTTCTCCCAAGCAATCCTTTAGTTTTTCAGTCATGTTCTATAAAAAAGTTAAAGGTAACAAGGTAAATTTTCATTTTGAAACAATGTTTTCCTAAACAGATCTTGAAAGACATTGATTTTCCAGCTGATATGACATTAGATATTATCATTCATAAAATCTGCTATTTAATTAATATTTTAACGCCAAAATGAAATACTGCTATTTCATCGACAGTCAAAATTAAATACAAAGCCATTATCTCCCCACACTTTTCATAACAAATTTTGCCAGCAGCAGATAATGTCAGATAAATTAACCCTATTGGGGGTGTGACGGTGGGTGATGTCTCCTAATTCTCCAAATATTAGCTGGAAATCAGCTACAAGCCAATTTATTGATATTACCCTAAACCGTTTTCTCCAAATCTGGTGTTTCAGAATTTTTGAACTACAACTCCTACTTCCTAAAAGACGAGGCATGTGATATAATTGGCCCAAGCAAGATATGCTAAGTCAGACTAAAATTTCTTACATATAACTTTAAACAAGCTCATCAGAAAACCATGCAGATTCTCTTACGTTCTTACATACTTGAAATCTGTTGAAATATACAGTATATACTGATTATTTTGTTCATCATACTAATCAGGTTACTAATAATGAAAAAAAAATATTGATTCTAGGAAATGTAGCACTGCAAGTTGAAAAAAATTAATTAAAATACACTGCAGGATGCAGAATCAGCATTTTTCACACTGTATTTCAAGTTCTCTTAGTCTACAGTTATAGGAGATGACCAGGCTCAGCCTGAGGGAGGGGTCAAAGGCGTAATCAGTCACCCTCACAAGAGAGACAAGTCCATTCCCCTGTGAATTCCATATCTACCCTCAAATTGCTTTGACCATTAGTAGTTCAGATAATTGTAGAGAAGTTAAGTTTGTCTTTATATCCATTTGAACTGCCTGCATCTCCTTATTTCCTTAGCACCTGATAATACTATTCTATACAGACTGTTGAACCACATTGCTACTTGAATATAATTTTGCAAGAAAAATAGTAAATCAAATTCTTTACTTTTTAGGACATAAGAGAAAACCCACATTAAAATAATTGCAGTTTGTGTTCTATCAGGCACTTTATATTAGGTTTATATTTCACCAGGAGTAATAAAAACTACTGTGATTCTCTTTCTACTTTTATAGCCCTCCCTGGCTGTAAACTTATTTGTTTTTAAAAACATCCTCAAAAGCCTATTCCATTTTTCACCATGATAAGAAAAACTGAGAATATCCATAGACATGTTAAGTTAAAGTTAAAATTATACAGATATTAGCTGATGTGTATAAAATTATACAGATATTAGCTGATGTGTATAATTGATGATATATTTTAACTCAGGTTTTGCTTTTGATGGATGGCATTTATTGTAGTTTTCTTTATTATTCTAGTAAACCTTGTTGTGCATGTCTAGAAAGCTTTGTGTTGAAACATAGACTAAAATGTGTTTTAATTATTGATGTTACCTAGCTTCTTAAGACCTATATAAACACTTCGCAAAAGTTTTACAGATATTTTTATCTTACTTACATGGATATTAAAGAATTGATATTGAAAGCAGGCCTAAATTTGCCTTTTTAGATTAGGTTTTAAAATATTTTATTTTATTGTATTTTCATACTGCTTCCCATGTCAGTTTCTGAAAAGCATATACAAACAATAACTATTGAAATACAACATTAAAATTGCAGTACATTTGACAATTAATGTAAACACTTTTTATTTAAAAAGTGAAATAAGGCCTCAAAGGTGCCTAAATGCACAAGCAGATCATATTTTGTCTTTTAAAAATATTCCTCTCACAATAATGGCATCTGTATCAAAAAGGATCAAGCATAAAACACAAATTCCCTGCCCAGTTTTGTTAATTTATGCAGATTTCATATCAATTTTTTGGTAATTTTTTATATTACCTTTAGCAGCGTGGGAACCTACAGCTCCTGATGTCTGATTTCTTGCAAGCTTTTAACACTTTCATTATACAACTGACATTTTTCAGGGCTTGAAAATCTGTCTACATGGTTGAAACACATTTAGCTCATCTTCTCTAGTCTAAATATTTCCATAATATTCAATCTGCAAAAAATGAAAAATAAAAATGACAAATAAAACCAAAGTTATGCATTGGATTCTTGAATGCCTTCATTCTTAGGGCTGCTTCTCTTCCATATACAGCAAGAAAAGATTGGGTTTGAATTCCTTAGGAACATAACACTGAACACAGTACAATTTTAAAAAACTGCACTATACCAGAAAGGAAGATTCCGTGAATTACGATAATTCCTCATCTTACATTTAGGAGGAAGGGAGTTTTGTTTCCATTACTGACTTTTTTGTGAAGTGACATCAAGCTTCTTAAAGACTTAATCTTTTTTTCAGGTCAATATATTTATTGCATACATAAAAAGCACCCTAAACAAACATTTTAGTAACTCCTTTAAGTCAAAGATGTTTGCAGAACCTTTTAGAATACAACAATCCCACTTAGCCTTGAAGATCTTATCCTTAATGTTAAAGCTGCCTCTTTCTCTTTGCCCAAAATCTTTATGCCCCCCCCCTTTGTTTATTCAAGCTCAGGGATAGTCAACACCTCTTTTTTGTTCCTCAGAAATCATACCTGACCAGTTAATTCAAACTATTTGATATTATTATTTGTACTCGGAGATGGGATTAAGAGAAAGACTTGAAATATAAACTCCCAAATGTACTGCCCCCCCAAAAAAAAAATCAAGGGAAGGAAATTTTGATTTCATCTACCTTGATTATCATTCCTACCCAATGATGGGATCACAGGTACCACAGTGATTCTACTTTGTAGATCTGCCAAATAAAGAGTGCGTGAAAGAAATATTGTACAATGCCCCACTCATTCAAATACAATCACACATATACTCACCACATATACTTTGTGAAGTACTTACTTTCCCTTTCTTTTTTTCTTTATAATCCTGGTACTAGCAATATTTTTTATCTATTTCTTGTCTATTTCTGACATGCACTGACTACATGTACAGTCACTACTTGAGTGACTGTACATTTCAACCTTGTAATAATCCTAGTATTCTGAGTCCAATTTTAAAGTAGGCTAAACTACACAGCATAGAATGTACACAGAAATATGCATCCTATTAGGCTGTGGTGTATGGGAGTTGGCAATTAAGAGGTTACTACGTGCCATAATACAAACATTTATTGAAAGACTCACTTTCTTAAATGTCTGTATTATGGCACGTAGTAACCTCTCAATTGCCAACTGCTTTCTTAGGAAGAAACACAATGTGAAACCAAAAATTGGGCTGAGATGGGAATAAACATTTCCAACAACTATACTGTATGTGAGGCATCCTCAATGCACTGAGATTAACTGCCCCGAAACTAAGTCCTAGCTTGATTTTTATGGGTGCCCAATAGAAGCCCCCTCCCAAAAAGCCCTAATTAAGATCCCTCACACTCTAGGGTGCGCAGGTAAAAATTAAGCTAGGGTGGGGTTGGGGGTTGTGGAGCTGCCCTACTATTTACCTTTGGACAGCTTTGTTATTGGCTGCAGAGGCCTCCACGAAAGCCTTGCCAGCCACAGAAGTTCCTGAAGGCCTCTGAAAGTGAAAAGGAGGCTGGGGTGATGCACGCAAGTGACAGTGGACAACATCCCCCTGAAAATAAGACCTAGTGCCTTTTTGGTGGCAAAATATATAAGACAGGGTCCTATTTTTGGAGAAACACGGTAGTTTGGATAATGAAATCTATGTAAGAAAACAACAAAGCTCAGAAAGCACCAAGGACCCCCTCATTTCAACCCTACAAATATTATCCTCAATCTGTATTATATGTACAAAATGTGAATGCAGGTACTTTACAAAAACTTTGCAGTAAAGCCACTGGGCTAGGAAATATTTACTTAGTAATACTTTATGACATTTGTAAAGGAAAAGTAACATGCAATTAAAAATACAGTTGGTAATGACTGATCATCAAGTTTTCAGAATTATTCTCGACGTATCTGACATGTCATGTACTGACTACACTACTTGAATGACTATACATTTCAACTTTGGAATAACATAAACTAGCATCTCTAAGAATTCTTAAGAAATAATTTAGAAAGCTAAATTATATATAAAAATTAAACAAACTGTAGAAAGATGAAATTTCATACAGAAATTTCCCAAGAACATTAGAATGTTAGAAAAAACTTTTTTAAAAAAATATTTTCTTAATTTATTATGATATCGCTTTAAGACTAGATGGATTTCCAGTAGCAGTCAGAAAATCTGTTATTTTGAGGTTTGAGGTTTGAGGTTTATTGGGATTTATATGCCGCCCTTTTCCCTGAGGGGACTCAGGGCGGCTTACAACCACAGGGGAGGGGAAGTGCAAGGTCAAAACAAAACAATTTGTGAACAAAAGAAAAATAATAAAACACAACTTTCATTCAGCAATCAAACACTCGGGCGGGTGATTGGAAACCTATT